CATACAGCCTTCCATAGTGGTTGCATCATTTTACACCCCCACCAACAGTGAATAAGGGTTCCAGTTTCTCCACAACTTTGCCAGCACTTGATGTTTGCTGTTCTGTTAAATTTTGCTATTCTGACTGGAGTGAAATGATATCTCATAGTTGTTTTGTGAAATACAATTTTTTTTTAAAATGTAAAAAAGGTATTTTTAAAGAACATAGAAATCTTATGACCCAGCTAGTCCACTGCTAGGAATTGAGACACGAGCTGAGAGATATGTACATCTATATTTATAGGAGAATTATTCACAATAGCAATAGTAGGGCCATAGGTCAAATGTCTATCTGCAGATGAATACATTAAGAAATCTTAATCAATGTGGTACATTCACACAATGAAATACCATGCACCATGAAGGAACAACAATTTCATAATATACTATATAAAAATCTAGAGACCATTCTGCCAAGTGAAGGTCTCAGTCTCATAAAGACAAATACTACCTAAGACCATTATTGTAAAAATAGGAGGATAACTAGCAAGATGTATATAAATGTCCAGAAGGGGAGAAGGGAAAGGGCAGAAAAAGAGGAAGTATGGTAATCACTAAGAGAGCAGAGTTTAGCAGATGGATGGGTTGAGTTTGAGGACAGCAAAGATTCAGTGGGGACTACAAAAGAAAAAGTCACAATAATCACAGACATTAAGAAATAATCACATAAAATACAATGTGTAAGACTGATTATATGAAACCGTGTAAATGAAAAATTGTATTAAACACCGTGTAAACGAATTACACAAACTAGTAAGAGAAATGGAAAACTAACTTTAAAAAATAAAACAGAGGTCATAAATTAGGAGGAAAAAAAATTGTAAAGCATGTATTTGTTTATATCCAGAATATACAAAGAAGTCTCAAAAACCAGTTTAAAAAACAAACAAGCCAATGAAATAAAGAAGGAAAGGTGAACACACATCTCACAAGAAGGCAAAAGGCGAGTGAAAAGAGGACCAATATCATTCCTCATTGGTGAACTAGATGATGCCTCATTAAAAATACCAACCACAAATTAAAGTCAGAATGATATGCACACACACACACACACACACACACACACACACACGTCACCACATTAAGTACTGTGTATTGCTGCTGGAGATGCAACAGCAGAGTTAGAAAACGGTTTCTTTCAAATGTAACGTGTACTTGCCAAGGGATTTAGCGCTCTCTCATAAGTACTTATCCAAATGGAATGAAAATTTGTGTCTCCGTTTTTATAGTAGTTGTGATTGTTATGTGCTGTTGAGTCAACCGGGGCTCAAAACAACCCTGCAAACAACAGACTTGAACCTTTGTGTACCCTGCTCCATCCCATGATCTCAAATGCTTGAGCCCAGTGTTGCAGTCACCGTATTGATATATCTTGTTGAGGGTCTCTGTCTCTTTCTCTCTCTATACCTTTCCCAACATGATGTCTTTTTCCAAGGACTGACACTTCCTGACAACATGCTCAAAGTAAATGAAACAAAGTTTAACCATCTTTGCCTCCAAGGAGCACCCACGTTACACTTCCTCCAAGACAGGGTGTTTTATTCTTTTTCAGTCCGTGGGATATTCCGTATTCTTCACCAGCACCACAATTCAAGGACATAGAGTCTTCTGTCATTCTTATTTCTTCTATACCTTTCAGATGCATAGAATGTAAATGAAAATACCATGTCTTGGATAAAACATAACTTAAATCTTTAAACTGACATCTTTGCTCTTTAACACTTTGGAGAGGTCCTTACAGCAGATTTTTTCAAATGCTGCTGCTGTAGGTATTGACTAGGGATCCAGGTAAAATTAGTTTTTTGACCGCTTAAATATTTTCTCGATCTATCACAATGTTGCCTTTCGGTCCAGTGGTGAGTATTTTTGCTTTCTTGATGTTGAGACATAATCCATATTGAAGATTTAGCCTTTGATCTTCTGCAGCAAATGCTTCAAGCCCTCTTCATTTTCTACAAACAAGGTTGTATTATCTGCATAACACAAGTTGTTGGTGAGTCTTCTCCAAACCTGATGCCACATTCTTCTTCATGGTGTCCAGTTTCTCAAATGACTTGCTCAGCATACAGACTGAATAGGTATGGAGGGAAGATACAACCCCGATGCACACCTTATCTCGTTTTAAACCATGCAGTAGTCCTTTGTTCTGCTGACACAGCTGCTTCTTGGTCTATGTGTAGGTTTCACATGAGCGCAGTTAAGTGTTTTAGGATTCTCATTCTTCTCAGTGTTAGCTGTAATTAAATGCCTGTGCATAATCAATTAAACACAAGTAAACATCTTTCTGCTATTCTCTGTCAAGATCCTTCTGACACAAGCAATGATAACCTTTGTATTATGACCTGAACCTAGTTTGAATTTGAGGCAGTTCCCTGTTGATATTCAATGCCAGCCAATTTTAAAAAATCTTTAGCAATTTTTATATGCATAAGATATTAATGCTATTGTTTAATAATTCCCACATTGTTTTGGATTTCTGGTTTTTTTTAATGGGAACAAATATGTATGATCAAATATGATCTCTTCTAGTCAGGTGGCCAGGTAGCTATATTCAAATTTCTAGGCATAGACTAATGAGACTGCATCTGTTTGTTGAAAGATGTAAATTGGAATTCCATCAAATCTTGTGATCTTTTTTAAATAACTCCACTGCAGCTTGAACTTTTTGCTTCAATACCATTGGTTCTTAAGCATAAACTCAAAGCTTCAGTGTCAACCAATTCTTTTTTTGTACAATGACTATGTCCTTCTTTGGACCTTCCTGCATCATTCAAGATTTTTGCCCACAGATATCTTAGTATTGCAACTCGAAGTTCTTGCAGCGTGGGAAATGCTGACCATGTTCTCTTATAGTTTTCTTTGCACATTTCATTTTAATACTTTACATTGTCTTCAAAAATTGCATGTTGAAATCTTCTCCCTTCCTATAACATTTCTTCTCTTTGCTTCACTCTTGGTACATTCTAACACAGACAGGTTTCACAATCTCTTCTGACATCTGTTTTGGTCTTTTTTTGATTTCCTGTCTTTGTAATGACCTTTTTCTTTTTTCATGGATGATGTCCTTGGTGCCATTCTCACTATTAGTATGGTCTTTGAATATTAATGCTCAATGAATTTTTTTCTCTTCCTTGTGGTGATGGTTACATGTATATGTTTTTGTCAAATGAGTACAACTGTACAAAAAGACTGATTTTATTGTGGTAAATTTTATCTCAGTACACCTGATCACATTTTAATAATATATAAAGACAAATCATTTACATCCAAAGCTGAGTCAGCTACATTTTATGCATTATAAGTAGGTACCTTGTGAAACTATGTATATAAACAGAACCAGTCAAAATGGATTAATTTTTGTTAACTTTTAAGTTAAAAATTAGGAAGATAATCAGTAATACTTACTTTTTTTTTTTTTAGAACACAGTGCCTTCCATAATTCACAGTATTGTGCTGTTGGTGGATAAAGAATCAGCAGTTAAGCCTGAGAAGGGTGCAGAACTCCAGGTAAAGATTTTAGTCCCTCAGCATTTGGTGTGACTCTGAAAGACCCATAGACTGAGTAGAGGGTTAACATATAAAAAAGCTAATGTAAGTTCTGACTAAAGTCAAATGGGAACCTGGACTGTAACCTCCTAGCCCTTGGCATTTGGTGTGACTCTGAAAGACCCATAGACTGAGTAGAGGGTTAAGATATAAAAAAGTTATGTGAGCTCTGACTAAAGTCAAATGGGAACCTGGACTTTAACCTCCTAGCCCTTAAAATCCTTATGGGAGCCTGTAGGGTGGATGGCATCTGACCTTTCTCCTCCACCACATTCTTCTTTCTTTCTAGCCCTCTTTTCTTGCCACTTTCTATTTTCTTTTTTTTTTTAATTTTTTTTTGCCACTTTCTATTTTCAATGTCATTATTTTGCCTTCATTCTTGAATATTTTCTCTGTTCAGGTCATCCACAAGTTGCAATGGGATTCTATTTTGATGAATTTGTTATAAACCAGTTCTAATGAATATTTGAATAATAGTCATATTAATGGGTCTTCTTTATATGTGTATGGACAATATCCTATCATCAACACATTGTATTTCAGGATAGAACTTGAAATTTACTTTTTTTACTATGAATGCAACACACCATTCTCCTGTTTTTAATTTTCAACATTATATATATATTACATACATACGTTGTTGTTTTTATGTGCCATCTAGTCACCTGTGTACAATAGTACTAAACCCTGCTCTATCCTGTGCCAATCTCACTGTCTCTGACACACCCACCCCATTACCTCACTCACTGAATCAATCTACTTCATAGAGGGTCTTCCTATCCTGTGTTGTCCCTCCACCCTCCCAAGCATGTCCTTCTCCAGGAACTGGTTCCTTCTTGCAACATGACCAAAGTATGGCAGACGAAGCTTCAGAATCTTTGCCTCCAAGGAGTAGCCTGGTTTAAACCTCTCTGGAGTGAACCTTTTCATTTTCTTAGCAGTTCATTCCACCACCACAGCTCAAAGGCATCAATTCTCCTTCTGTCCTCCCTAGTCATTATCCAGCTCTCTGATGCATAGCAAGTGATCTCTTCCAGTCAATTGGCCAACTGGTTGTTCTCCAGATTTCTTGGCACAACTTGGTGAGCACATCCAGGGCAACAACTGTTATCTGAAATACTTCAATTGGTATGCCATCTATTCCTGGGGCCTTATTTTTTGCTATTTCCTTCAAAGCAGTTTGAACTTCTTCCTTCATC